TGCAATTTCTGTCGTGGTGGAAGTTTTGCACAGTCGGCTACACGTTTAGTTGAAATAAATTGTTTGCTACGTTGACGTACTCGATAATTATTTGGACGTATTCTGCCGCGTATGCGTATGTATATATGTGAATTGCTCGTGCGCACCCGCGAGAGAGATCTCATTAAGCGTTATTTGTTTGCCTCGAGAACATAAATTTTGATTTTATCAAGTCTGACCCGTGCTAGAGAGAGACAGAGACAGAGAGAAAGAGAGAAGAGCCGGGTAATTTAGCCTAAAACAGCAAATTCGTATGTACGCGTGCAGTGGCTAAAAATAATAAATGATCACATTCTCAAATGCTAGGCACACGCTCTCGTACACAGAGATAGCGCGCGTCTAAAATTGAAATGTAACTTTGTATTATTGCCATGAATTCGGGCTCGCTCGCGCGCGGACGCTTAAATTTAGATGAACTCTGAGTATTTCTGGGTTTGCGACCGGCTCTTAAGCGATAGACGATGTTATCAATTGGGAGAGCCGAGCTTTCGCGCGCGCATTGTGCACGCCGGCATAATTTGACGTCTATGCGCGGCAAAAGTCAAGAGCAGCACAAGTCCTGTGTCGTGTACCTTGCAGTACGATGCTCCCTCTCTCTTTCTTCCATTATCTTCCTATCGTTTGAACTTGTCAGAAATGTCTAGTAAGCGCGACAGTATTTCAATAACGAGTGGGTGTAAGTCGATAACCCTGATAATAATTGCATCAGTTCTTACTGAATACACAAGTTTCTTCTAGTAAACGACATGATCGATCAAGATTCCCTCCATGTTATCCCTGGTAGAGCGTTATATATATGCACCGCGACATTATCGAACTCGAGCTTTCAACGAATAAATATTTTCGAACGCTAATTGATCGCGTTTTCAAAAATTGATCGGGTTTTTCTCGTCTTTTAAGTAATTTTCATTCATTGATGTAGGCATATTTATCGACTCAATTTTCAACTACTTAAACCGAGCTGTTTCATAATTGTAACCTAATTATTGATCCCGATAGAGTAGGGAATTTTCATTCTCTCAACTGCTTGGTCATATTATTATGTGCCGAGTATATAGACATTAAATCAATTCAGCCTGAGGATAATCGACCTGCCGAACGACTTGATAATATTAAATATACTTTTCAACGTAATTTTGGATATTAGACCATAAAGCGAGCGAATAATTATAAAGAGCCTATGTGATCGATGCTCTGCAATTATTTATGTAGTCTGCTTGGGCGTAAATCAATGATCAGTTCAATTTCGACTTTATAATACGCTTTGGTTTTAATGTGTGCAGTCGTAGCAAATGGATGTCATGCATGCCAAAGTAACATTTGTTAATTCCTACTGTTAAAGTGTGTGTGCGCGATTTCTCGTGTGCAAACTAATTAAAATAGATTTGTAAGTGTATATCTTGTAAAAGAATCTTCGCTTCTTTCCGCGGCTACTCTAGTTTTGCGCGCAAGCTCATAAATATCACAAAACTCATACGTCGTTCGCATTGATCGATTTTGAAGTTTATCGCGAAAGAATTGTTATGATTTAATACGTTGTCATGATACATCGTGTGCAATCAAAGTACAGGTAATTGAAAATCGAAACACGACATTGATTATATAATATGATTCGAAGCGAGGCTTATGTGTTATACTCTTCTTCCGATGGTCAATCGCGTTAAAAGGAAATTCAATTGGCTGCCGACTCTAAATGCAGTGTTTTGCAGTGTTGCATGTGTTTGGTCGCACACGTTTCAGCGTAGGTATAGGAGCAGCAGCGGTGCTATATACGTAAGCTCGTTAGATTCAAGCGAGGGATTTACGAATTTGCATGAAAATATTTTAACAAATGCTCCGCACTCCATAGGTATAATACAAACACGAAGACGTGATCGGAATACAGATTATTCGTGTGCGCAGCTCGAGTGCCAATATTGACCGACGTGCTTCGTTTGTTTAGCCTTACAACGTGCATACAGCACACACATGAATTATCGTTGATAATAAACCGATAGATTTGAGGTGGAATTTATCGCCGTAGTTGCGCGCTGGGAATTGCGTGCCACCGAGTCAAAGCTCGGACCGTAGGTTACACAGCATCGTGCGTACAGTATATAATAATAATATCCGAAAGACCAGCAGCAGCTGCTGCTCGATGAAAATGTATCACCGGCGCGCGTGTACGTAGCCTCGTGACCTGGCCAATCGAGAGAGCTAGCCCGCGTTTATACACGCGGCGGTGTGACGGCTCGCCGCAACAACGCCAGGCGCAATAGCCTATCAATTTTCTTTGTTTTAGATTTATCGAAATCAAGCGCAGAAGAGCTAGCGTATAATATAATGAGAGAGAGTGTATCAGGCTAGAGCGTTTGGGTATGTGCAAGTCAGCTGCAAGCTTTATACAGTGTGTGTGTGTGCGAGCGTGTTATGGGCAGTCTAGACAAGCACGAGACATTGCACGAAACAAGCTCGTGGTCGTGTATAAATCTTTTCCGAACGTTATACACCTGCGTCAGTAGCAACACAATCTGCTCGAAAAATCTATTTTTACAGGGCGCGCGCTCGAAAATCTATCGAGTCTTTCTCTGTCGCAAAATAAATCTGTGCTAGTGTATACCCACGCGCGTGTAAATGACAAATTCCAATGTGCATTGTTGCACAATACAACATGTGCACGCACGCGCGTATTGTTCTAAATTCGGTTATTTGATACTTTGAGAGCACCTGAAGCTGAAGCGAGCGAAATTCAATTAAGCATAAAGGCCAATATGATGCGCGCGTATGTGTGAGCATGGCTACGTTAGCCACTCACAGGCACACAAACACGTGCGTATGATGATGCATTATACGCGCTATATATTAGTTAGAGTATTCTTCGATGTGCTTTGATCTTGCTATCCCTGCTCTAACGAATAGTCGTCGTCGTCGTTATGGCCCGTAAGCTCGGAACAGCACGACGATTGATTCTGAGCAGATATTCTCTCTGTCTAGCTCTCATTCTTCCCAACAACTCTGACTATACTTTATTATACCCTCTGCCAGCTCGTCGCGTCTACTGGTCTTACGTGTAGTTATGTGTGTTTGCTTTGAGCGAGCAACAAGTTATACGAATCGGCCTCCCCAAGCATATAGTTAGACAGTCCGAATGTTTTGCTAAGAAGCTTAGAGCCCGTCATGCATATATAGCAAAGCGCTTTATAAGCGAAGAGAAAGAATCACGCGACAGGCCGTACGACTCTGCATTGCTACGTACACGTGCTCTCTCTGCTCTACGTTGCAGTAGAGGTAGTACCGGTGCAAAATGCATTTCCATGTTTTCCATCTATGCAAAATAAAAAGCTCGCAGCTGTATTGAAGCAAAATCAAGCACGTGGGCCAGATTTTCAGCGTCTTTCGCTTGTAACGGTATACACATATAACGTACTCGCATTTAATACATATCGTAAAGTTATATTGTAGATGTCTTTTGAGCTTGGCTCGCTTCGAACATAGACTTGCTCCCTTTTTATCGTGTGCCAAACTGCCGATGGCCAATTCTCTCCTCGGTATTCTCTTTGTATATTGATTTGATCGCGCGCGTGCGTGTAGATATATATACATGTTGCCTCTTCTCCTGTACTACTTCTAAACTCATCTTTTGGGCTCTTCAACTATTTCTCGTTCTCATATTCTATTGATGTAAGGAGGTGCTGGGCATCTATAAACTTTGCGCATGTTTATAGATGCACCGATGCCAATATCACTTGTACGTTCTAATCTTAAGCGCAATTTGTATACATCTAAATTTTCATCAGAAGCTGAGCAGCAACCCCTGCATTTGTTTCTTCAAATGAAATTGAATACAATACACTTGATATTATTTTATCTTGCACATTTCATTATAAAAATGATATATTATTCCAGATAAATTTCCAAGGGATTTAAAATAATCCTCTTGCTAAATATGTTGTTTTTTATTTAAATGATATTTTACTTAGAAATCATTAACAAGCAGCTATTTTCAGTATGGTGAAAAATTATTACTCAAAAAAAAATTATAAATCAAATTTTGTTTTTAAAATTTCGTAACTTCGATTTTTCATAACTGCAGTTATTCAGTAAACTAATTAATAATTTTATCTAAATTTTATTAGAACTACATAAACTAACATTTTTTTATTCATCTGTATTTATCCACTTTAAAAATTTGACAAATCATAAAAAAATTAAATTTTTCAGAACTATGGCATAGAAAAGAAACATAAAAAAACTTTTTCCAATTTTATTGTTTCTTTACTAACTTCTTTGAAAAAAAAATTATTAAAAATTAATTATTAGCTCGTCAATTTTAAAATATCATGAAAAATAATATACGAATATTGTTTGTAATTGTCTATTTAGTTGTGCATTTTCGTTATTAATATTTAAAACATTAGAATTATATGTTGTTTTTAAATATGTTTTTAATTTAAGATCTTCTATTGCACCTCTATTCTACTCTCAGCTCTTATGAATTTAATTTATACTTATACAGATTTACTATCGGATATTACATTTTGATCAACGTTATATTTTAATATGGAAAGATTATGTCATCCCATAGAGTTTATCGTTAAAATCGTTGGTTTATGGTGTGTAAATATGAATTTGAATACTGTTCATGTAGCATGTCAATTAGTTATTCGCAAAAACTTTTCTTAAGATTATTCACGCGAATTTATATATATTTGGATATGTTTACCATACATTACACCATAGATTATTATTCAGCTCTCAAATTATTTAGGAAAAGGCTTTGATGTATTCTGTTGATTATTGAAAGTATAAGGTGATGCAGTTGGAGTTGATCGAGATTTAGATTATGAAAGTAATCAATATGACTTTTATTAGTGCCAAATTTTTACTCACAAGTCTATGTAGTTTTATTTAATGAGTTTGAATTATTATAATATAATATAATAATAAATGTAAGTACTTACTTAAATTTTTCTTTTGACGAAATGATTGTTACTGTATATGCTACAAGGTAATTTATCTAGTTACTCATAGGTAGATAAGCCAGATCTCCTTGCTTTGTTGGTAACTCACAACCTATTTTATCGACAGTTGCTAACGATATTTCTGTTTTATCTCTTGCAACTAACTAGCAGTAAGAACATACTCTGAAGATACATGTTTAGTAAAGGATGATTAAAATTGACGTAATGATAAAATTGGAACGAGTCTTGCTTACAGTCTTTTTTAGATATTTTTTCTTCTTAGTACGATAGCAGATGGGTGTATAATACTGATGAATTACACTAATCATATTCGTCTCACAGAGTGAATTTTTTTTGTGTCTGAAATAATTAATCGTTTATTACTTCCTATCATAAAAATTTTAGAATGAATTCTTGACTGTGTAAAAATCGTTATCGAATGAAAATATTATTTGAATGGTTTATGAGACTGATTTAAGATGATGCACAAAATCCTTTTATTTGTGTCAACAAATTATCAACGACTGAAGTAATATGCCTTAGCAGACTCTTTTCACAATAAAAATAAAGGTGACCTTAAGTGTTTTCATACGGATAAAAAATAATTTTACTTTAAACTATAAAAATTGAATTTTAAACTTTTCTTAGAAAATTTGTAATATAGTGTGTAATCTTGAAAATTTTTAAGAAACTAAGGTAAATTAAAAATATTGAATGTAATTATATGAAAATTAATTGAAATTTGTTTCGAAATAAAAGTTACGTATAAAGTGAAAAGAGGCAAGTCCTAATGATTAAATTTGATATCATTTACGAAAAATTACCGAATCAAAAAAAATAAAAATTTATAGCAACTTAATAACTGTTGTATAGATAACGAAGATAAATTTTTCATAAATCTTTTTGACTCATATATTATTACTAATGAACAAAATGAACAATTAGTACACAGGAAAATACTTTTTTTTTCAAGCGCAGTCTTTGTGATAGGTTATTATTGAACGCAACAAAGTAACTAAAAATGTTTTATCGATTGTTTCTGTTTTTGTGTATAATTGAGTATAGTTGGGCTCGAAGTTATTTTAATACTGATGATTTGTCGATCAATGTACGTGAAAATAAGAATTTGAACGGCAATGAAAATTTAAGGCTTGATTTGGCATCAACTAGTCGACCTTTGCATACTGTCGATGTTCAAAATCAAAATCTACCATTAACTAGAAATTATATATTGTCAGATATCATACAGAGTTTTCGCAATAAAAATTGGAAGTTAGATGATAAAAATGGGTTTAGTGACGAAAAAAAGAGCGAAAAACGTGGAATGGATAACGCGAGTGGTGGAGTTTCTGATGAATTTTCGAGTAGACGGCAACTTCCTGAAAAAAAGTTGGCATTAAAACATAAGCTGTATGAAGAATTAACAACTAAATCAAGTGAAAGTGCAAGAAAAAAAGCTGAACCTCTACAGGGAAGTATTATTTTTGATTCTCACGAGGATACGGTTACGGCGAGTAGCTCAGCCATTATGACCCCAGATATTGATGACAATCATAATAATGATAATTTGGAGGTAGGATTTGATTCGTCTCATAATCATCCGCAAATATCAGTTACTGATAAACCAATATCAGGAAAAAAAATTGAAAAATTGCAAGGAACGATCAATTCAGATGATAGCGATCGATTGAAATACGAAGATAATGGTGCTGAAATACCAAAAGCTACGAGTGGATTAGCAGGCAGTACTAGACCATCTATTTCACAAATTTCCAATTCTGTAACAAGTAAAAATCTAAATGGAACAAAAATTCCGCATTCTGTTGAAAATCCTAAGTTTGATGAAAAATCGGCCAATGAAAATACTTCATTGCTCCAAAAAGTCGGCCCCGTACTGAAGAAAAAAGAATTGCCTAAAAGTGAAGAGACCATCAGTGGATTGGCAGGTAGCAGTGGAACATCAATTTCGCAAATAGCCGATCCTATAACAGGGAAAGTTATGGAAACAGATAAACAAACAACGTCTGCAAAGAATAAAAAAACAGGTGACGAGTCGAGCCCAGTAAAGAAAGATAAGCTACCCAATAAAAATGTAACGAAACTCATCAGTCCAATATCCATTCACTCCGGTACCCAGCTGGTAAATTCGGAAAAAAATCCTAAAGTGATTAATTTGACGGCTCCCGAAGGACAGAAAATGTTAGTAAGCAATAATAAAACCCAACCATTAGATTCAAAATCCATTAAAAAATCGATACCATTGATTCATGAAGATGATAATAAATCTATGAAAAAGACCAAAGCTTCAAATCCCGAAGATAAAAAACTAGTAAATATTACAGTTCCTCCGAACGCTAGCACCCGTAATGTTGCAGTGCCGAAAAGCCTTATCGGTCCTAGCAATGAAAAGAAAACTAGTGGATTGTCGGGAAGTAGTGGACCAGCAATTTCACAGATTTTAGATCCTGTCTCTGGTAAGAACAAAGGCATTCGTGGATCTTCGAGTAATAAACAAGCCATAGAGCCAAGTAATTCAACAGCACCCGTGAAACAAGATGAAAAAATCAACAATACTATCGCAGCACCTGTAAATCATACTGGGTTAAATAAAAAACCTTCTTTGATTCTTAGCAACAAAACGCCAGCTGCTTCGAAGACAGTTATTCCTGTAACACAAAATAAAAAACAAGTTAATGCTACTGTTTTGCCTAGTGCTAGCACTCGTGACGTTGTGGTGCTGAAAAACCATACGGACCGCAGCAATGAGAAGAAAACTAGTGGATTAGCGGGAAGTAGTGGACCAGCAATTTTACAGATTTCAGATCCTGTCTCTGGTAAGAACCGAGGCATTCGTGGATCTTCTAATGATAAACAAGCCATAGAGCCAAGTAATTCAACAGCACCCATGAAACAAGATGAAAAAATCAACAATACTATCGCAGCACCTGTAAATCATACTGGGTTAAATAAAAAACCTTCTTTGGTTCCTAGCAACAAAACAGCACCAGCTTCCAAGACAGTTATTCCTGTAACAGAAAATAAAAAACCAGTAGATTCTACGGTTATGCCGAGTGCTAGCACTCGTGACGTTGTGGTGCTGAAAAATCATACTGACCCTAGCACTGAAAAAAAAACCAGTGGGTTGGCTGCAAGTAGTGGACCAACGATATTACAAGTTTCGGATCCTGTGTCTGGTCAAAACAAAGGCATTGGTGGATCTTCTGGATCTGGAAAGGATATAAAGCCCACTAATCTGACAGCACCCGTACAAAATGATAATAAAATTCACAAAAATGGCACTTATCCAGTCAGTCAGATAAATTCGAATAAAACTCTTCCTCTGGTTCCTGGCAACAAAACAACACCGGCTCCCAAGAAAGTTAATCCTGTAATAAAAAATAAAAAACCAGTAAATGCTACGGTTATGCCGAGTGCTAGCACTCGTGACGTTGTGGTGCTGAAAAACCATACGGACCCCAGCAATGAGAAGAAAACCAGTGGGTTGGCTGCAAGTAGTGGACCAACGATATTACAACTTTCGGATCCTGTGTCTGGTCAAAACAAAGGCATTGGTGGATCTTCTGGATCTGGAAAGGATATAAAGCCCACTAATCTGACAGCACCCGTACAAAATGATAATAAAATTCACAAAAATGGCACTTATCCAGTCAGTCAGCTAAATTCGAATAAAACTCTTCCTCTCGTTCCTGGCGAAAAAATAGCACCAGCTTCCAAGACAGTTAGTCCTGTAATAAAAAATGAAAAACCAATAAATGCTACTGTTATGCCGAGTACTAGCACTCGTGACGTTGTGGTGCTGAAAAACCATACGGACCCCAGCAATGAGAAGAAAACTAGTGGATTGGCGGGAAGTAGTGGACCAGCAATTTTACAGATTTCAGATCCTGTCTCTGGTAAGAACAAAGGCATTCGTGGATCTTCTAGTAATAAACAAGCTATAGAACCAAGTAATTCAACAGCACCCATGAAACAAGATAAAAAAAACAACAATACTATCGCAGCACCTGTAAATCATACTGGGTTAAATAAAAAACCTTCTTTGGTTCCTAGCAACAAAACAGCACCAGCTTCCAAGACAGTTAGTCCTGTAATAGAAAATGAAAAGCCAATAAATGCTACTGTTTTGCCGAGTGCTAGCACTCGTGACGTTGTGGTGCTGAAAAACCATACTGAGCCTAGCACTGAAAAAAAAACTGGTGGATTTGCTGGAAGTAGTGGGCCATCCGTTTTACAGAATTCGAGTCCTGTGTCTGGTGAAAATAAAAGCATTAGTGGATCTTCTGGATCTGAAAAGGATATAAAGCCAACTAATCCGACAGTACCCGTACAAAATGATATTAAAATCCACAAAAATGGCACCTTTCCAATCAGTCAGATAAATTCGAATAAAACTCTTCCTCTCGTTCCTGGCGACAAAACAGCACCAGCTTCCAAGACAGTTAGTCCTGTATTAAAAAATCAAAAACCAGTAAATGCTACTGTTATGCCGAGTACTAGTAGTCGTGACGATGTGGTGCTGAAAAACCATACGGACCCCAGCAATGAGAAGAAAACTAGTCGATTGGCGGGAAGTAGTGGACCAGCAATTTTACAGATTTCAGATCCTGTCTCTAGTGAGAACAAAGGCATAAGTGGATCTTTCGGATCTAAAAAAGAAATGAAGCCAACTAATTTGACTGAGCTCGTAAAACAAGATGATAATATTGCAGATACTGTCAAGGTACCCATGAATAAAACTAAGTTAAGTAAACCTCATCCTTTGGCTCACGACAATCAAATCACAGATATGCCGAAGACAGTCATTCCTGTACTACAAAGTAAGAAACCAGTAAATGCTACGATTTCGCCTAGTGCTAGCATTCGTGACGTTGTGGCGTTGAAAAACCATACTGACCCTAGCAATGATAAAAAGACCAGTGGGTTGGCTGCAAGTAGTGGTCCAACGATATTACAAGTTTTGGATCCTGTGTCTGGTCAAAACAAAGGCATTGGTGGATCTTCTGGATCTGGAAAGGATATAAAGCCCACTAATCTGATAGCACCCGTACAAAATGATAATAAAATTCACAAAAATGGCACTTATCCAGTCAGTCAGATAAATTCGAATAAAACTCTTCCTCTCGTTCCTGGCGACAAAACAGCACCGGCTTCCAAGACAGTTAGTCCTGTAATAAAAAATGAAAAACCAATAAATGCTACGGTTATGCCGAGTGCTAGCACTCGTGACGTTGTTGTGTTGAAAAACCGTACTGACCCTAGCAATGATAAGAAAATTAGTGGGTTGGCTGCAAGTAGTGGACCAACGATTTTACAAGTTTCGGATCCTTTGTCTGGTAAACGCAAAGGAATTGGTGGATCTTTCGGATCAGGAAAGAAAATAAAGCCAACCAATCTGACAGCACCCGTACAAAATGATATTAAAATCCACAAAAATGGCACTTATCCAGTCAGTCAGATAAATTCGAATAAAACTCTTCCTCTCGTTCCTGGCGACAAAACAGCACCGGCTTCCAAGACAGTTAGTCCTGTAATAAAAAATGAAAAACCAATAAATGCTACGGTTATGCCGAGTGCTAGCACTCGTGATGTTGAGGTATTGAAAAACCATACCGACCCTAGCAATGAAAAGAAAACTAGTGGTTTGGCTGCAAGTAGTAGACCAACGATTTTACAGATTTCGGATCCTGCGTCTGCTAAGAACAAAGGCATAAGTGGATCTTCGGGTAACAAAAAAGTCATTAAACCAAATAATGTGACAGTACCGATAAAACCATCTTTGGAAAAAAACAAAAAGAATTCAGAGCCTTTACAGGGAATTCCTTTTAACGAGTCTGCACCATTGAGCGTAGGAAACAAAACTGCAAATATTCCAAAGACAATGGACTTTGATGTACTTAATAGGTTACCCGTTAATAGTACGATCAGGCCAAATGGTAGCATTGTTGACGTTGTGGGACTAAAAAACCATAATGACCCTAAAAAAGAAAAGAAAACCAAGATTTCTGATCCCGTGTTTGGTATAAATGAAGGCATAAATGCATTGTCTGCTACTGGAAAAGACATTATTTCAAGTAATTCGACAGTGTTAGTAAAGCATGATAAAAAAACCGACAAAAACGATACTGCTCACGTAAATCACACAAATTTGAATAATACTGAACCTTTGGGTCCTGGTAAAAAAACGGCAACAACTCCAAAGACAGTAGGTTCCGAAAAACATAATGAGAAACCAGTAAATTTGCCGAGCGCTAGCATGCGTGATGTTATAGTGCTGAATAGTAGTACCGTTCCTAGTGTTGAGAAGAAGTTGAGTGGATCATCTGGTGCCAGTGGACCATCTTCTACGTTATCTGATCTTATATCTGGAAAGATTAAAAGCATAAGCGGATCTCCAATCACTGGAATAGATAAAAAGCCGGTTCATCTGACGAATCCATCTGATATATCACAATTGAATCCCACTCGTCCCACTAAGATTGTCAACATTAAATTTAGTGGACCTACAGTGGTCAATGTTGTTAAATCGAAAGATGGGTCACGTCCCTTCGTTGTAGTCAATGTTCCCTATTATCTACAATATCCTCGCAGTTTATCATCTCATTCTCCACCATCAACAAACAAAATCAATTCTCGGTCAGATGAACTTATTAACACCGAAGTTTCGCGCGTAATTAATGATTCTTTCCAGAAACAGGCAACTAGTGTTTTCGATTCGTACAATGATAAAACAACTGCATCATTCGACTCAACAGATTATGATTTGTCTGGTGATTCTGTAGTTGGAATTAAGGAAAACAGTGGAATTCCAACATACCCTTCTATGAACAGACCTCCTTTAAATAGCATTAAGCCTGGTTTGAACATTATCTCGAGTACTTCTTGTGTACGTGAAATAGGCGATGTTTTTCTGGATAATTTAACATTGATACAGGTAAGCTTGAGTTGGATGTTTTATATTTTATCTGAAAAATACTTTTTCGAATTTGAATATTATGAATATAGATATATTTTTGTAAATGCGTTGTATTTAATATTGTAATTAATTGATTTATATAATCTTTATATTTTTTTTACACATCGTCATGGTAAATTCGCGTGTTTAATTTGTCAAGTTACATTTATTTCTCTGTATATTACCATGAATTGACATGCAGTTTATCGAATTCTAAACGGTTGGAACAATAAACTGTAATGATATATTTGTTTTTTCAGCTTTATGCCTCTGATAGACCTCAACTGGACGATAATTACCCTGGATATAAAATTACGTGTATAAGATGTTCGTCAATTTCAAATGGATTGAGAAAAGAGTTGGGACTGACCATTGTTCGTAGTGGAAATGGATGTAGATATATTTTTGACCGAAGGGAACTTGATCTCTCTAATCTTTTGGGATACTGCCAAATATTCGGTAGAAGAAGAAGGTGGAATGATCAGGCTGTACTTCCTTGTTAAACATGAATTTATGACTTATATGTAGGCAAAATGTTTTAAATAAACGTAATTAATTTAATAATAATAAATATATTATAAAAGTTATCCAAGCTTTGAACTTATTATAATTCTTGTTTTTATGGTTGATTGTTCTAACAAGCATTTATAAACCCATTAATTAAAAGTTTTTTTTTGTAAAATCACAATTCTGTTACTTACAATTAGTAGGTAATCTAAAAGTATAATATGAGCTTATATTTCAATTCCATTGAGTAAAAAATCTTTCTATTATATTTCTCTATCATCTGCCAAAGGATACATCAAATGAAGTATTGTAAAATTAATGAACTGGGTTATTATGCTGACGTGAAAAAATGATAATTAGAGAATGAAAAAAGTAACAAAAGAGACTGTAAATGAAGAAAAAGGAAGCTAACTGAAACGCGGACGAATGATGCCGTGGAGAGTAAAAATATTAGGGTGTCAAGATGGTACTTGACCCCGACCAAGCATACGTGCGAATGTACGTAAGCAGTGTCACCTTCTAGTTGGAATTTTGTAAATTCAAAGTATTCGTTTTTTTTATATTTTTTTAAGGTACAACTGAATGACCTTTATAATGCGTTGAAAGGTAATTTATTGCAATTTTAATCAATGCAATTCTATTGATTTACCTAACTGCTATCAAACTCCTCATCATTCTAACTTCTAACACCAGATTTATTTACTGGTTTCTATTTATTTTCTTCAAATGATTATCTACATAATCATGAAAAACCAAATTTTATTTTCGATGCTACGTGAAAAAGTTTCGAGATAGTTTCTAGGTGGTTTTGAAATGTAGAAATTATGCATAATTGCATCGAGTCCACCAAATTAATATTATTCATCGTACGTGTTTTTTTTTATACATAACGTGATTTAAAAAAAAAGTGTATTTATATTAAAAAAATGACATCATTTGTTTTTACTGATGACATTCCTATGACAGGTCCACGATGGAAAAGGTAAAGGGACTCAAAGTAGTCCACAAATTTGCGGTCAGTTCAAAAAAAAATATTAGAACCAATGTAGATATGCCTCATAAGTTGGTAAAGGTGGATACACGCACTGTAGAGGCAACAGAGTAATGGAAGAGAGTCGCAGGGAGTGCGTACATATGAGTGAAAGAGTAGTAAAATTTGGAAGAAGGAGCAGAGGGATGGGAGAAAGCAACCGACCGAAGATTCTGTATACATGTGCAGCATCGCTTGCATGAACCTAAAGAGGGAGTACCGAGGGCTGGTGTGCGCTCCAAAGTAAAGCTGGGTCGGCGCGCTATCGATCTTTCTCCGGGCTCTTCGTCTCACTCTGCCCACACCTGGTTGCTCTTGCTGCTACTGCTGCTCCACCCTGCCGCGTTCAGTCGCTCACTCACTGTACAGGAAAAGACCCCTCCACTCTCCTTCAATGCCTTTTCTTGTTCACTCTCTCTCTCTCTCTCTCTTTCTCTCTTTCTTTTTCTCTATCTTTCTCTCTTTCACTCGTATTCTATTTAAACTCGTTTCTTCATGCTTCTCTGTACGGCGTCGCGTGGCCTGCTTTTTCAAGCTCAGTTTTTTACTATCTGAAAAGATAAAATAGCTAAGGCCTACTTTTTTTAAAGCTTAGTTATTTTTTTACGAATAAAACTTGAACTTCAACTGGTTCATTGAAAATCGCAGATATTACTTTCAGAACATTAGACCCTTTTTTTAATATTCAGAGTGATTGTAATCCGATACATCCGATAGCTAAACTTTTGATAAATGATAACAAATAACTAAAGCAGTTAGTTGCTATTCATAGTTATTGAATAGATATTATAAATTAATTTTCTTATTTCTCACATCTTTCTGAATTCAATTAAAGCGGTAAAATTCTTGATCATTTAAAATTATGTATTTACTGCTTTCACTATCTTACTGCAATTTTATGTTGGGACAAAATTTTCACAATCAGTTTAGTTAATTTTGTTAAAAAATTAAATTAAATTGTCAACAAAGGTTAAAATAACTATAATTTCAAATTATAAAAAGCTCAATTGTACGTATCATAAAAAATCATTGTAAAATGGCATTTTTAAAATCATGCTAAAAATTTGATTTATTATTTGTAATCGGAATTGTCTTCTCAAGCTTATCCGCGTATTTCCGAGTTTCTTACTTGCTGTGTTCTTTCTCCTGTCACATAAGTTCAAAGTTACGGTTAGTTATATGTGAGGCTATGACAATAGGTTCAGCTGCCAATAAACTCATCGTATAAAGTCAAGAACATTTCTCTCGTGACTATTTGTTTTTCAAAACTCATGTTTAATTCGCTTGTATAGTCTAGTTTGCTGCCGAAGCTGTGAGGGTTTCATTGATGGATTCATCAATTCGTTTATAACTTGTAATGAACTATGACTTTGTGGAATTTTTTTCCCGATCAATATAGTGATAAAATGGAATACATTATGTATGAATAAACATAAAGTAATATGAATAAAAAATAAAGAAAAGAGGGAATGTCGACTAGTATATTGGGTATGATGTTTCATTTTTCGAGATTTCCTAATTATAAATATTCATTATAAAAATAACCAATTTTATTTATTAGTAATTATCAGTTTTATAATTCAAAAATTCAAAAAGTCATAGCAAATACGTTTCTGATATAGACTTATCAATACAGCATTTCAAGTTGATGTTTTTGTGTACAAAAATAATTGTTTTCATTCTTTTTTTTCAGACACAGATGTATACTTTTACCCTTAATCATCATCTGATGGATTCAAAAGGTAATTTTCAACTTCTTCCTTCTAATAAAAACCTTTTTTTGTTAACACTTAGAGGATATGTAGAAAAGGAATTTCAAAAATACTTTTTTCTGTAGAAAAGTCATCCGAGGCTTGTAAAATTCGATTAAACTAATATCAGATATTTATAGATCTATGACCTCAGACCATATGGTATATCCTGTTCCGGTACTATAAAAGCACACGTTGATTGTAACGAAAAATTTTATTACTATGTATACTTTCAGGTTTTCAATACGTAAATGTATATGACGGTTCAAATCATCGAAAACTATATTCTTTTTTTTCTTTTCATTTTATTTTTTTACTGAATTTCGGTGTTCAGTTATCATCACAGAAATAAATGTAAAAATTGCGATTATTAATAATCCGAAAAATCTGATTAAATTAGAAATTTGTATTATAAGTTTAATTCAAGACGTTTTTTTCAAGCCTAAAAGCGGAATCCGATTCTCTAAGGGTTAACAATTTCTGTACATAAAATATGGAATGCATACATGAGAAATATAAATAAACAGTTCCTTTTTTATAATACAGCTTTACATAAAGAATATTAGCTAAATATTATTTTGAAAAAAGTTTGTCTGTAATCTCAGAAAACATAATTAAAAAGTATCGTACCCACTTTAGTTGCAGTATTCCCTTGACAAATTATGTTCGAGTATTTCAACTCAAAAGTACTCGAAATATTTTCTAAAACTTGCCTGTCAAAACAAATTTTATATTTTTAAATAGGGGTTTAAATCGATTAATTGTTTTATAAATGAAAAAAATAAAAAAAAAGGGCTGTGAGTTCAATTTAAAAAAGAGAACTCAATTATCTCAGAATTGGATGAATTTTAGCAAAATGAGATCGCATTTCAACGGGAAAGTCTTTTAGCTGTGTCTGAAATTACGAAGTTGAAACCCGCATTCTTGTCAGACTTGATCAAAAAGACTTTGAGTATCAAAATAGCTGATCTATCTTTCGTTTTTGTGCGCTTACTTGATGTTTTTATCTTCTTATCGTTTAATTTAGATTTGCTGGTATTTTCACGTAGCCATAATTAATTGAACCTGCATATATTTTGTACGTTTTAAAATGGAGAGATACAGTAGATACTGAAAATAAGTAATTTGAGTTTTCAAAAAATTTATTGATCAATTGTACCTGAAGAGTAAAGTAAACTAAATATAAATTAGAATTTTTACCTGTTGAAAAAACTAGTACCTTAAAACGCAGATACAAGTTCACAAATAATTTATGAATACCCAAAAGCGTTTATGACGATTCCTCTTTTTTTGATTTGCATAATCAAAAGAGAATGGAAGCTTGAGATGAAAAAATGTAGTTATTCTTTTTTAATTTGATCCTGTTTTTTTCAAATGTCCCTAACATTACTTCAAAAACCTTCATTTTTTCCACTTGACTTTCACTAACTCAATTTAAATAATACTTCAAATAGTAATCATTCTTTATAGATTATTGAATAGCTCAAATTTCAGTGGATAATAATAATCATGACATTAAAAAATGGAAAGTTTATTGTTTTAAACTATAGTGATGCTTTTCTTTTGTTGATTTTTAAATTGATCATCAATTCCATTCGAACGTACAGTTATACTGTACTGTTGCAGCACGGTATTCTGTCGACATCAATTGTTCCTACGTTGATATTTTATTGAACACTTTTATCTGAGCCGCTCAGGTCCTTCCACGTTTCCAATTTATATCTACGCATCATGTTCTCGGATTGTCCTTATATTTTTATCCCATTCCCATACATGGAATTCTGCTCTTTCCATTCAACTGCTCACTCCATCGAGTTCCCGCAGCTTATATCTTAATTGAACGATCGTGATCGAGCGAATTTTCCGAGCTGTCGCTTTCAAAAGCTTTGCAAAGGCGCAAAAAAAGTCCCAATTCCATCAAACTTGTCTTCTTTCTATTGGAGTTGAGTATACGTCTTGGTTAACGTAAGATGCTGTATTAGATGGTGGCTTCTATCGATTAATATGTGATTTAACAAATTAATAAGCACTGTTTTGTTTTTATAATCTCTTGTGTGATATATTGGCATATTCATTGCAGGAGGACCTTCTTACATAAAATGACACTTACAATCAAATAATAATTAGATGTGTATCAAAAAATAAAAATTGTCTATCGTGCATTGTACTTTATTTTGACGTGGAAAAAACCATGCGTAAGAGAAATGCAAAGAAGAGTTATCAACGATACAAAACAAAAACGAAAAGCTGATTAATTAAGAGTAAAAAAAGTTACTGATTAATAATACTTGAAGGATTACAAACAGGAATATAAAATGTAATTTAATTCAATTATCATATCCTCGTGAAATATAATGAAAATATATGTAATTAAAATAGTGAAGATATTCGAAAACGAATAATATGGCCTGATCGCAATTTTAACCGTTTAGCTTTGAACGGGATGTAAGTACTATTCTTCAATTTAATTTTACTTTTCATTAGTAGAATTTCTTTTGATCGCATACAAAACCATTTAATCTTTGTGATTATTTTAAAGCTAAGTCTAGTTGAAAACATCCAAAGTATTTGGTCTTTTTGATTTTTTAAAATACTTTGATATAGTAATACTATCAAATCAAACCTTTTTCGTTTGACGCTTCTCTCAAGTTCACAAAATTTCTTTGTAAAGCTAAGATCATAGGATGATACATTAAAAAAATTAATTATAATTGTGAGATGCTAATTATACATAAATTGTGTTTTTATCAATGGTTAATTTTTTAAAATTTAGATTTACGTTCAACCATTGCTTCCACGTTCAATTATCGAAAAAGATCCGTATTTGTCACGTCAAGCTCCGGAATGAGCTATTTAACTCAATGAAGGAGCAAATTGAATTTTCGATAATTTTATGAAGCAACGCACTTTGTATGGTTTTTGAATGTGCTCGCTGTTGCTGCTTTTGCATGCAGGTGTTGCGTTCAATAGCGCACGCACTATCTACCGTCCTAAAAGCGAACGAAGAAAACAGTCTTAATGAAGCAACTCGGAATCCTCGTCACGTTTTTTTTCTCATTCTTTCCTCATTGTTGCCATTGTCATTCATGACGGGGTATACGTCATATTATATAAAGAGACTCGAGTTTGTTAAGAGCTATATTTCGCCTTTCACGAGCATCAAACGCATTCAAAAGTATTCACTTTTTGGGCGGGGAGACAAAAAATGTTTTTTTTTTTTTTCAAAATGTAAGCCGTGTATGCCGCTTTGAATGATAACTCAAACTTTGTGCAACAAATGAAAAAAAGTTGCCATAAAAATCCAGTCATTATACACAACGCATTTGAAGTGAAATTTACATAAACACATGTACACACTCGTTTGCGTATGCGCGCAGTAAAGTAGCGCTGAATACATGTAAAGAACGTACTCGGCCGTATAAGTAGTACGAAATGAGTCGAGTACGGCGCGCTCGTAATATCATGTATTATACGTCGTTCTCTCTTTCGTTCGGTCCGTTTGTGCATCGGCTTCCGTTGAACTTGATTTTTTTTATTGGAAATATGAATGATCGCAGTCGATGGATCCCGGTCCAACAAGTGTGTGTTTTGGCGTCCTTGCAGACGGAAATTCAGTCAGATCGTCGCTGTGTACTCGTGAAAAAAAGGCTTTATGTCGCAGCTATAGGCGCGCATGTATCGGGAGTAAGTCGCAAGTGCAAAGCTATGCATACAGAGGAGTAGAAAGCGATAATAAAAAATCAGGCAGAGTAGGTATTTGTGTAAAAGAGGGTGGCCGAGTTGGCGGGAGCAACGCTTGGCAGGGCTTGGGAGGAAGGAGGAAGAGGAGGAAGAGGAGGACTGGAGGTTGTGCAGGCGCATACATAGGCAGGTAGCATAGTGCAGGCAGTGCAGGCAGTGCAGGGGGAAGCGACGGTGTGCTGGAGGCTCCGCGCACACATTGGAAAGAGAGGGAATCCAGCGGCAACAGTGGCGGCGGTGGCAGCGCAGCGGTGGCGGCGGCAAATAGGTGGGAAAGCCAGGCAGCAGGCAGGCGCGCGAACGTAACGCGCCGAGAGACGAGCGAGAGTTGACGTAGCCTGACGCGCGCTCCAACGCCAGTATGTTGATTCGCGTCGGACAAGCTTGAATAACGGCTTATACCGGACACGCGCATACAGCAGCGAGAGATTGACACGATTCGGAGCTGCAGCGGGGATCCTCCTGTGTGGATCGTCGTAGTAGTTTGTCGGAATCGCGCTCGTGCGCGCGCGTGTGTATCGTAATTGTGCCCTCTCAACTGGTGCTGCAGCTGGTGCATGCTCCGGAGAAGCGAGAACGGCTACCGAGTGCAGCAGTACACCAAGACCGAAATACATCGCTTCTGAGTGAGTGCAGTTGTTGGCCCTTGCAAGTAGTAGTTCCTTATCGAGCTCGAGGCGCCCTTACCTTCATTGCGCAAAATTCCAACACAAGTTTCGGGCCAGCAGCGCGTGGAACTAGTTTTCGAGTGCACTGACCAAAGAGAGTAGATCGTTGTTGTCTTGCGAGTGTCGGTGCTTCGACGAGTGCATAGGAGGAAAATACGTACATACAATAGGTAGACGGACGGAGAATAGGTGCGCGCACTTTCACACCGTGAGAGAAAAAAAACAGAGTAGAGAGAGAGGGTGAGAGATAAGGTGCTCGAGTAAGTGACACATCAGGTGCAATAGAACTGGCGCTAACAGAGCTGAAGGGGTCGCCGACGAAGAGAGACGAGGCACGAGAGGTGAGAGAGAGAAAAGCTAAAGGAGATATCGACATAGTTATCGAATCCCCTGTTGCTGGCTGCTGCTGTTGCTGGCGCGCTTGCACGAGAGAGAGAGAGAAAGAGCAGAGTCTGCTAGTGCTAGAGCTGCTGCTGTTGCTGGTCTTATAGCGGCCCCTCGTCGATCGATACGCACCTCTCTCTTGCTCTCGCTCTCGCGTGCTACACCTCACCTCTACCTCTCTCGCTAGGTGAGTTGTCCTCTCTCTCTCTCTCTCTCTCTCTCTTTCCCCGGCTTTTGCACTCACGCATATACCTACACACATACTATTTTCCTGCGCTCGCGCTTTATTTCGCTCTTTCCTCTCGCTAGCTCTCGCACGCGCGCGTCTTTTATACCAATGCGCTGCACGAGAAACGCGAGCTTTCCCGGAGAGAGCAAAGCCCCTCTGACCTTTTGGCGTTTTTCAATTCAATTTATCGGGCGAGGGATCGCGCTCGACGCTAAATCCATTACTAGACTGTAACATATCGCGCTCGCTCCTCGCAGCTACTGCATCTTTCGGATTGTGCAGTTCGCCTTGCGATGCCACTGCAGCTACGGGCTTTGTCTTTCGAGTAATTGTTCGCACGTGACAACGGTAGTTGCTCCTGCTCCGATATATACACAGTCGCTCGTTGTCGACGCGTTCGGAGTCGGAGCTTCTCTACCGCCAATTGATCAGTATTGCTGTTTTGCCATTGGCTTTTGGTGCGGAGCAAACGAGTACAAAGATACGCTGCTCTTTATCCCTCTCTTTCTCGCGCACGCGATAACGGCAGCACGAGCAACATCAGATGCTGAAAACATTCCGCAGTTTAACTTAATGACGCCCCGCGGGTTTTTTTTTCTATCCATTCCTTTGGAGCGAGATATCGTCTGCGATTCGACCGATAGAACTCGATCAGTTCGTGCGTGCACCGCGTTCCAAACAAACCTCTTTTATGTACTCTAGTTTTGCTCTTCCGACCCTCGATCAATAATACAATTTTTCTTTTTAAAAGTCGCTATTTACATCGATGGGTAAACATCTTCTTACAAAGCTCCGAACGTGTGCCCGCACGAATTCACGAGCATGTCCTGCGCCACGTTGATGCAGAAAAAGGAAAACCACCCAAACAAATGCGATCTAGTTGCACGAATAATAATTTATGCGCTTATAATGTAAATGCACCTGAGCGAAGGGCGGTTGCTGCGTCACGATTTTCAAGAGCGAAAAACACCAGGGAACGGCAGCCCCCCCTCCCCTTATCCCCGCGTGCGTATATACTTCATCATGTTAACCGTTCACTTGAATTTATGAATATAAGCTGCGGCAACACATTGTGCAAAGTTTCGGGATTAGAAGTGAAGCTAAACAAGCACGTATTAAAGCACATTTGTAATACCTGCAACTGCAGCATACAATTTCGAGTCCCTTTCAAGTGCTATATATAGCAGGTAGCGCGCGTATTATGTCGTACATATAGCGGAGCGAGTTTTCGACCCGCGCGCGAGTGTAATGCTCTCAAACTGTATGCATGTGCGTATATAAGTACGATACATATATCCAGCTCGCTACAAGGTTTTCATTATCATTTTTGTCGGTTTTTTTCTTCTTGCCTCTGCATGCCTCGGCGAAAAAGTGCACGATATGCTCTTTTTTTAGAACGCGCGCGGAAGAGGAAAAAAATTGTTTCGCTATTGCAACACACATAGCAGAGAAAAAGAGTAAACGTAAAGTCAGTTCTCTCTCTCTCTCTCGTTCTCTCTTTCAGAGCGCGGCGTACATATATCGAGCATGCTAGTTTTTTCTATATACCTTTGCTAATGGCAATTTTGCAACGAGTAAGCGAGCCGCTTGCTCTCTCTCTCTCTCTCTATTTTATGTATTCGAGCGTATACGCCCGCGGGATAGCAGCAGCGTATATATATTCTGCCGTTATCTCTCTTCTTTCTTTCGCTCAACTTTTTTAACGAGCTGACCAATCATCGAAGCTTGATTGACCGCTTCGCGTAACAGCTAGAGCATCGTTTATTATAGTCACTTAGTATGCCGTCGGCTTATAACCGACACAAGACCAAAGCCACCACCGCACCAACTTGCGCGCCCCCCGTCCATCGGCTGCTTTTTCTGCGCTATTTATTGCTCGACGCGATGAATTTTTCGTTTTTACCAGATATAATCGACCGCAGACTCTTCTATTGCGTGCAAAGCTTCCGATTTATTTCCATATACTTGAATGCGAGCAAAGCCGTTTCGAATTTTGCTTCGTTTAAAACTTTGATTGAACGCGACGAATTAAAAAAGTATCAACTTTTTCCAAATCATATCCACGTACATAAAGAAAATCCAATGATCATGTTAAACCCATTTTACGTACATTTACTCCATCGGCTTTCGTATTTATCTTTCACGCGTGTGCTCAAAAATTTACATTTCATTTTTCAGTATTTAATTAAGAGCTTTATGATATTTCTTTTATTTGACCATGTCTCTGCACGAATATCTGCAGTGCCTTTATAAACTCAGTGAACCGAACTTAATCTCGTAATAGTTTTTTTCTTGTACATTTTGTGACGTTAATTTATCCTTGTCATTATACCACTGTGTCATCCTTTAAAAATAACGTTCCCCTAATTTTGCTTATTTCATCGGAGCAGTTATACAAAAGGCAATTTACGAGCTACACGTTTCTTCTAAGACAAAGATTTGTCTATTTGCGCGCAGGTTGAGCGATGTATGTGCACTTGCTCGCGATCTTGCTCGAAGAATTAACGCGCTCCCAGCTAAAAGCCGTCAGACAAAGCGCACGGAAAGCTCGAATATCCGTATATGTTGTACATGTAGTAGAGGAGTTATTTGGTAAATCGTAAAGTTCGGTGGGAGGCCAATTTTCGCATAAAAAGCTCGCGAACTGGACGCAGGCTGTTGCACACACGGAAAAAGAGAGAGAGGAAAATGACGGTGAAAAAGCTTTTGTTCTCTCGTGTTGTATAAACGTCTTTCTTTGCTGCATAACATAGAGAAGAGATGCTTGGGAATGTTTTCATAGTAGATGCGCGGCACAAAGTGAACGAGCGAGGGACTAGTAGTTTTTGAAATGCTTCTAGGAGAGAGAGAGAGAGAGGGAGAGAGAGAGAGCACATAGCGGATGCACGCGGGCTCAAAATGGACAAATTCTCGGATCCTTTTGATAGGGGCGCTCGAAACTGCGGTATGCGTAGCCACGCTAAATATTCGCACACACAGGTTCGGGGCTGCATCGTAGAGCAAAAATAATATATCGCTCGACGAGATGATTATCGACGATTGGCGAAACGAGCTCTTTGGGTGGGAGAGCTCGGGCGCAGATCCTGAGTGGCGGCAGCTCTTGATTTCTGCAGTAGTGGCGTTGCATAAATCAAGCTTCATAATCAAATGCAGCGAGAGCTGGGCGCGATATGCGCGCACACACTTATGTTATAGCTGTGCAGCGGCCGTTATGGGCTATATACGCGCGCACACACACAAGGTGTACATACGCAGGGCTGCATAATAAATACACATAATATTTATACACTTACATATACTCAAACACACGCATACGCCGCTGCCGTAGCATCGATCGCTGAATTATTTAATTTCGTGACGAGCTCGTACGTATTATGTATACATAATGCAGCGTATAATATAAACGCAAACACAGTGTAATGGTGTCTAGCTTTGCATTTTTGCCATCGCTCCGCGAGCTCTCGCTCCAATGTATAATTAGTCTCGTGTTGGCTGTGTGCACAGCAGAGCACATGAGAGCGAAAACCCTGTTTTTTTTTTTTTTTTTTACAAAAACGCCAGCTCGATATCCTTTTTCTGATTCGCGCTCGGCAACAGCCTTGTGTGCGCGAGCGTGTGCTGGGTTTTTTCGCTGCAACGACCTATGCACTGTAGCGAACGCTTTACACCTTTTTTTTCTCTCTGTGGACTATAGCACGTTATGTATTGTGTCACTTCGTATCGAGTTATCGTGGACTATACCATAGGGGAAGGTACACGCGTTATTATAAGCCCGTGCACAAAAGTTAACGAAAATTTTTGCGCGCCACCCCGCATACCTCACTATACGTACGTGTGTAGAACGACGCGGGTGGGCGAAAAATTGGGTCAGAGGGTGTGTGCGCAGCGCGGCGAAACATGCATAAATTTTCGATGGGCGCATCGATGCTCTCTCTCTCCCTCTCGCAGCTTCTATCTTTTATCAAGCCAATGTCTAGCTAATTGTCTTGGTTTTATTTCGCCATATACTTTTCGTTCCCTAGACGTCGCTCTTAATATTCATCCTATGACTATATTGTATAAAATTTATACGTGCTTTGACACAAAGCTGTGTCGGAGTGATCACTCGGGCTCTCTTATCTCTATGCGCATTATATAAAAAAAAACGAAAGGAAAAAAAAACTACACGGCTCTATGTAGTGCGATAGAATGCTCGGTATGTAGGCTTTTGACGAGTGTAACCTCGATATATACCTCTCTTTCTCTCTCTGCTCGCGATTTCCTCCCAACTCGAGCTCTTTCACATTTCATCGATTTTATTCAGTTTATATATTTTTCTTTTTTTTTTCATCTTAACTCGAGCGCTCGTAATACTGATAAATCTCTGTACTCGAATGGCATGAAAAAAAAAAAAAAACCAACACACATACAACTCAGCTACATGAGTCGCGTATCTCAATGACATACATATAACACGTGCGTTGTGTATCTTTCGCGAAGCAAAGTAGCCGCAGTATAGCTGTTGCATATAGGTGGCACAGCATAAGCAGTTGGCAAGTGTCAGGGTCCCGACAGCCTCGATACGCCTTGCGATAGCGAGATAGAGGGAGAGAGCAGCGGCTTTTAGCTCTCCCTCACAGGCGAATGCTCGGGAAAAGGCTCTTTGCTAGCTGCTTCTCTCGGAATCGCAATAGCTCGTATAGCAGAATCAGCATCAGCCCATGTACACACCGCTGCCATTCTTTGCGCGAGTTTTTTCAGACAGAATCTAATACGTACGGGTGCGTCTTTCTCTATATACATATAGTGCGCTCGTTCTCGCTCGGCTGAGCACAAGTCTATTACGAACTACCGCGCGTCGCAGCTACAGTGGCAAAAGCTCCACGCTCGGAAATAAATTCGAATGCTTAGCCTTAAAATACGTTTTAATGAGAGACAGAGAGAGGGGAGCGTAAAATTCATTGTTTTCCTTCTTTAAG